AGAAAAGCTATAACCAACATAGACAGCATATTAAAAAACAGAGACATTTCTTTGCCAACAAAGGTCCATCTAGTCAAAGCTATGGTTTTTCCAGTAGTCATATGAATATGACAGTTGGACCATAAATAAAGCTGAGCACTGAAGAACTGATGCTTTTGAAATGTGATGATGGAGAGAACTCTTGAGAGTCCCTTACAGTGCAGGAGATCAAACCAGCCAATCCTGGAAGAAATCAATCCTGAATGTTCATTGGAAGGACTGATGCTGAAGCTGAAACTCCAATAGTTTGAACACCTGATGGGAAGAACTGACTCATTGGAAAAGACCCTGATGCTGGGAAAGATCGAAGGTGGGAGTAGAAAGGGACGACAGAGGATGAGATGGTGGGATGGCATCACTGACTTGATGGACATGAGTTTGAGCAAGCTCCAGGAGCTGGTGATGGACAGGAAAGCCTGGTGTGCCGCAGTCCATGGGGTCAGTTAGAGTCAGACAGGACTGAGCAATGGAATTGAACAGATATTTACCTATAATCTCCAAGGTAAGTTGGTGTTAAAACTTCACATACCAAATCAGCAGTCACGATGGCAAAGTATATCAGCATTGATCACAGCTTCCCTGGTGGCTCAGACGGTAAAGCGTCTGCCTGCAATGCGGGAGACCAAGGTTCAATCCCTGGGTGGGGAAGATCCCCTGGAGAAGGCAATGGCACCCCACTCCAGTACTCTTGCCTGGAAAATTCCATGGACTGAGGAGCCTGGTAGGCTACAGTCCCATGGGCTTGCAAAGAGTCGGACACGACTGAGCGACTTCACTTTCACTTAGGTAGGCAAATGGGCCAACAACTGAGTCTTTGTATTTCCTAGCATAGGACTTTTATGATTTGGGGAAAATCTTAGTGTGCTTTGGGAGGTCCCAAGTTTTGGCATTTGGCCATCAGGATGTTGACTGGACATTCACTTCTGTAGGCACTCTTGCACTTAACCTTCCTACCTTTGAAGTAGTCTATGACTACTAGTTACTCAATAAACATTAATAACACACAAGCAGAAAATCTGTCGTCTCCTTATAGTAAATAACCTTTTGTCAGGTAGGCAGGCACTTCTTGATAAATTAGTATTCATTTTTACTAAATCTCATTCTCCTAGTTTTGGTAGTCCACACATCCTCAAAGGTATCCAGTTTACTCTGACAGAGTGATTTTTCATGACTTGATTTTACATTGTGTCTGGTCAAGGATAGGCTAAACAGTTTCCAAGGACAGATTTAGAATTTTAAATGTAATGGATACACTGAATCTTTTACTTGAGACTAAACCTATCTTTTAAAATAGTTCTTTGCTGCTGCTGCTGCTAAGTCGCTTCAGTCGTGTCTGACTGTGCGACCCCATAGATGGCAGCACTCCAGACTCCCCCGTCCCTGGGATTCTCCGGGCAAGAACACTGGAGTGGGTTGCCATCTCCTTCTCCAGTGCATGAAAGTGAAAAGTGAGGGTGAAGTTGCTCAGTCATGTCCGACTCTTTGGGACCCAATGGACTGCAGCCTACCAGGTTCCACCGTCCATGGGATTTTCCAGGCGAGAGTACTGGAGTGGGGTGCCATTGCCTTCTTCAAAAATAGTTCTTTAGAGACAGAAAAAGTACTATTAGCAAACTTACATAAAAAGATAAGTTGTTTAGGAAATGAAAGAAGGCTTCCTCAATGACGTGCCAACTCAATTCCTCAACAAATTAACATCAAATAGAATTAGTCACTTTTCCTGTTGCTCACCAAGCAGATGGCCAGCATTGACCACCATTTAATGATAAAGCAACACAGGATAAGAGTGTGAGTTTTCTCCTCCAAAGGAGATTAATGCTTTGAATCAATACACAGTATTTTCTATTCAGGTCAAGCCATGTCTCTCCACAGTGATAGGTGATGATGCATGGCTTTGCTGCATTTTGGTAGATTTAATGCTTTGCATAAGAATTACAAAGTGTTAAATATTTTTTCCTGTAGAAATCACATTAGATTTGGTTTACATTAGCAAGCCTATGGAAGTTTCAAAATTCTGCTTGTTTGTTTTGTCAAAATGGGCTGTGATGATAATAGAAACCAAAATGAGGTTAGGCCTGGCAACTTCACTGTTAAATTCCTGTAGGGTCAGCTCTGATTTGGGGTTCTAAAAGCAATAAACAAATTGTGGACTTCCACAAGACCTTGTTTCCTACCCAAAACCTGCTACTAGCATATCAAGTAGATGAAAAACTCACATTCATTTAACTCCTTTTGGTTTATGCAAAGTTTTGAAAAGGGTCAACCATGCAAAGCCTTAGCCAGGAATTTGTTAATTCACTAGTCCTAAGGATCATTTTTCAGGAGAAGGTTTTCAGGGGAAATAAAAGCCTACAACAGGTATTTATTTATTGGCTATATTTAATCTTTACACCTAGGCTACTTTTAAAGGAATTTAAGGTAGCTTATGGCAAAATCACTTAAAATTTTACTATTAAAAATGGAGTAGGGGATTTTCCTGGCAGTACAGTTGTTATAGCTCCATGCTTTGGAGGTGGGGGTAGGGGGCGGGCAGTTCAACCCCTGCTCATGGAACTAAGATCCCTCAAGCCTCGGGGAGCAGCTAAAACAAATCCCCAAAAATGGAGTAAAAAAAAAAATATTGGAAGCCATGTAGCAAAAGGAAGGCAGAGAGTGGTACCATGGTTTTTGGTCCAAGGTGATGACATCCTGACGACGGCATTAATGGAGACAGTGAATATTCCAGTGGTGGATATTTAGTGACGGCATTAATGGAGACAGTGAATATTCCAGTGGTGGATATTTAGTGAAGGTCACTGGGTACCTGGAGAGCAGAATAAAGGCATGGATACTAAATGCCAAAATCGTTACCAGAGAGGGTTCTAGAAAGGCTCAGAAAGTTGATGTGAGGAAACTATTACATTTATATAAACTTGTCTGCTACACTATTTTACCTTCAGGGTGAATCTGATCTGTCATTTTTTCTTCTATTTTTCTGCCCCAAGAAAAGAGCAGTTAACTGTTGTTGGAAAGATGTTGAAGGATTGGGAAGAGTGAAAATTGGAGTCAGTTACTAAAAGTGAATGGGCTTCCCTGCTGGCTCAGCAGTAAAGAATCTGCGTGCAATACAGGAGAAGATCCCTGGGTCAGGAAGATCCCCTGGAGAAGGAAATGGCAACCCACTCTAATATTCTTGCCTGGAGAATCCCATGGACATAGGAACCTGGTGGGCTAGAGTCCATAGGGTCACAAAGAGTGACTTAGCATGCAATGAGGTTGAACATATGGTGCTAAAACTTTTGGTTCCTTCATCTATTACAAAAAAAGAAAAGATGCAAACTTTCTAAGGTAGAGATTGGTCTTCTCTCCTCCTTCTACCAATACTCTACTATTAAATTGAACCTTTTTTTTTTTTTTTGCATTCTGACACTAATACTTCCATTATGATTGTTTAAGATTTTATTTTAAAAGCAGTTGTTCACTGGTTAGGTAGTTTCCATGAATATAAGAGGTTATAAAAAGAAAATTTAAGGGAAAGAGAGTGGCTAGTATTATGAAATACTCTGACTGGCAGGCAGTGATTGCTCATCAGTTGATTTGGCAAATAGAGTAGAAAGTTGATTGAGGGCATGCTTGCCATTGATGAGTAAGCATCGGCTAAATTATGTTCTGAATTTTCTGTTTGAGAAAGCTGAGAAGTATAGAGAAATATTAAAAAAATTTCAGAGCAAAAAGTCTGAATGAAAACAATTTTAGTAACTAAAGTTGGAAACTACTCATGAAGAAATTTAGAAAGTTTTACAGTTATGAAAAACTTTGCTAAAGGTCTAAGACAATTTCACTGCATTTAAAAGTGAACCTCTGGAAAATAAAATACATACTAACTAGGTGAAGTAACTTTACATACCTCAAGTTCGTATTCAAGATTATTCAATTTTCTAGCTCCTCCTAATGCATTTTAAAAGCATTTCTAACTCCTCCTAATGCATATAAAAAGCAGAGACATGACTTTGCCAACAAAGGTCAGTCTAGTCAAAGCTATGGTTTTTCCAGTAGTCATGTATGAATGTGAGAATTGGACCATAAAGAAAGCTGAGTGCCAAAGAACTGATGCTTTTTTTTTTTTTTAACAATGGAGGACACTTTATTATTATTTTTTAAAGCATCTCTCAACATTTCAACTCTTGGTAGAAATCAAATGCAAAACATCTGCATTTTTAAATTAGCATCTATTTATCTCAATCACAGCAACCTCATACAATTAAGATACACACTGAGGAGGAGCACGGTCACAGCATTTCCTATTCCAACCCACGAACACAGTGTTTTCGTGACGATAACCCACACTGGACTTTCTCTTCCAGAACAAGTGGGTTATTCCTGCTTCTGTCTGCTGTGTAAGTTGCGTGGCATCGCGGATGGTTAAGAGTTAGTGTAGTGCTAGGGCTGTCTGAAAATGGAAGACTGGAAAAGTCAGGGCTGGGACAGGCATTGACACCTCTGAAATGTGAAAAGGAAGAAGAACATCAAAGATGGGTGCCCCCGAGGGGGAGGGCCTTAGTAATAAAGTTGGTTGAAACTCAGCTTTATATACACATGGAATATCTACAAGTGATCTACTAGATATATATATATATAAAGAGCCATAGACGATTTTGAAAACCTTAAAATCTCTCAACTCAGTTGGAAGAACATCAGCAAATTCACAGTGGCCTCAGGATTCAGCCAGATGGAAATGTGCTCAGGAGCTGAATACCTCCTCCCATCAGAAAACCCACTGCATGTCAATTCCCATAACATTCTGTACATCACCAACACTTATGGCTAAAATATATTGTTAGTTCACACGGAAGCGGTTCTATTTTCCGATTCTTGCCCCGCTCCTGCTCTGAAACCCAAAAGGATAATCCGGGGTCAGTTAATTCACATAAGGAGTTTAAGGGGCCTTCGGCTTTCGAAGTGCTGAGGCTCGGCTAAGAATCTCAGGAGACGCCTGTCTGCTGGGCGCACGCCGACTCCTGCCCACTTCTAGTGCAAAAGGGTTGCTGTAGGTTAGAGAAGTCCCGGAAACAGCTGGAGAGGAGAGGACTGAGGTGGAGGGGTGGTGGGGATCCCAAACCCTCTTCCTTCTGAACTGAGACTCGAGGAGACTGCAGCGCAAGGTCCACACTCAGCAAGCGGCGAAGACCAGGCTGGAGGTCCACAGGGTGAGGTTCCCGACTTGTCACTGGGTGCTCAGTCTGCGGGCGCAGAGACCTCTCAGCCCGGACGAGCCCCACGAGGTGCGCACTGGAGGTAGGTGTTGAGATTGGTTGCAGGGAAGACAGCGTCTCTCCACGAGCCCAGGGGACACCATCTCTGTTCCTTCTCCACGCCCGCACGCTCCACTCGACCTTCGGGCTGCGGCGAGGGAAGGGCATGAGCCCCTCCCCTGGAAGACTAAAGGCATCTTTATAAATAGAACCTGGGGCATCTTTATAAATAGCTACATTGGTAATGTTTTCACCACTTTGAAACACACGGCAAGTTGAATATTTATTTAAAAATAAATCTCAAAAATATCTATATACAGTAGGGAAAGAAAAGGATGTGCAAACAACAGAAGTGGGCGGAGGGGGTCTGTGCCGCGGTGGAAGGTCCACACTGCAGAACGGAGGGCCAAGTTCACAGACCCCACGGCTGCGCTGAGCTTTGCAGGCAACAGCATGACATTCAGTGAATCCTGGGCTCGGGTCACCATTGACGTCTAAAGGCGGGGAAGGCAGGTGGGGGATGCCGGCGGGGGTCCCGGTGTCTGGGGACGGCGGCGGAGGGATGAGCCAGTGGAGGAGAGACTCTTCAGAGTCCCTTGGACTTCAAGCAGACCCAACCAGTCAATCCTAAAGTAACTCAGTCCTGAATATTCATTGGAAGGACTGATGCTGAAGCTGAAACTAAAATACTTTGACCTCCTGATGCGAAGAACTGATTCATTGAAATAGACCCTGATGCTGGGAAAGATTGAAGACAAGGGGAGATGACAGAGGATGAGATGGTTGGATGGCATCACCAACTCGATGGACAAGAGTTTGAGTAAGTTCCAGGAGTTGGTGATGGACAGGGAAACCCAGAGTGCTGCAGTTCATGGGTTCGCAAAGAGCTGGACATGACTGAGCGACTGAACTGAAAGCATTTTTACACTATGTTCCACATGTAATTGCTTTTATTCGTGATACTGACATTTCTTCAAATATACCAGCAGGTGGCAGTACCACACATGGAGAGCCAAGAAAACAGAAATTATTAAAATTTACCTGGAGCTATTGACTACTGTCAGGAAAACAAAATTTTCTCAAAAATGAGACTAATTATTTTTTAAATAATAACTATAAATAAATGTCAAAGTTTAACTTTGGACAAACTCATTTGAATTAAGCAGATGATTGTCTAACTGTGATCTTCTCTGAAGAAAATCTGGAGCCACTTCAGAGAGAGACAAAAAATGCACATCAGATGTCCTTCTAAGACAAACAGGATGAAGGGAGATAATTGTATAGTTTTCCTGGTGCCTGGAATAACCCTTGAAGTGGCATTTGTTTAATTTAATAGATTTCCAAATGTATTTATTAATTAATTAAAAAAATGATGTTTTTCAGTCACTCAGTCATGTCTGACTCTTTGCAACCCCATGGACTGCAGCATGCCAGGCTTCCCTGTCCTTCACTGTCTCCCTGAGTCTGTTCAAATTCATGTCCATCGAGTCAGTGATGCTATCCAACCATCTCATCCTCTGTCGTCCCCTTCTCCTCCTGCCTTCAATCTTTCCCGGCAGCAAGATCTTTTCCAATGAATTGGCTCTTTGCATCTGGTGGCTAAAGTATTGGAGCTTCAGCTTCAGCATCAGTCCTTCCAATGAATATTCAGGATTGATTTCCTTTAAGATTGACTTGATCTCCTTGCAGTCCAAGGGACTCTCAAGAATCTTTTCCAACTCCACAGTTCAAACACATCAGTTCTTTGGCACTCAGCCTTATTTATGGTTCAATTCTCACATCCATACATGACTACTGGAAAAACCATGCATTTAGCATGCTAAGTCGCTTCAGTTGTATCTGACTCTCTACGAACTGTATCCAACCAGGCTCTTATGTCCATGGGATTCCCCAGGCAAGAATACTGAAGTGGGCTGCTGTTTCCTTTTCCAGGGGATCTTCCTGACCCAGGGATCAAACCCATGTCTCTTATGTCTCCTGCATTGGCAGGCGGGCTGTTTATCACTAGGGCCACCTGGAACGTGTGATTTTGGAGCCCAAGAAATGTCACTGTTTCCATTGTTTCTCCATTTATTTGCCATTAAGTATAATAAAAAAATATATTTAATGATTAAAATGAACTCTGAATCAGGAGTAAATATCAATTGGCTGTTTCAACTCTCAATAGCACTTATTATTTTATATGAATAATCTTACCACTAAAACCATAGGTTCATGAGGGAGCATACTTTTAAAACAAAGAAAAGTTATGTTGTACACAAGGCATTTTCAAGAGTTGCAATTCCAAAGCCTGCATTAAACTTTTTTGCTAGCATAAACTTTGCTGAATATGAGGGAGCATGTGAGAAAAACTCTACTGAGTGAACACTGGTTAATATATTCCATGGACCTAAGTGAAGTGTTAGTCGCTTAGTCGTGTCCAACTCTTTGTGACACCATGGACTGTAGCTCTCCAGGCTCCTCTGTTCATGGAATTCTCCAGGCAAGAATACTGGAGTGGGTTGCCATTTCCTTCTCCAGGGGATCTTCCAGACCCAGGGATTGAACTCAGGTCTCCCACATTCCAGGCAGATTCTTTACCACTGAGCCAACAGGGAAGTGCTAAGCACAAATGAAAAAGGATGTTTTGTTGTTGTTGTTGTTTAATATATCCTGGTCAACACTCTAGAACCACACACTAGGTTAGGCAGAAGAATCTATTCTACCACCTGCTTTGGTTAATATAGTTTTATTGGAGAATAGTTCTGCTCATTTCTTTGTGCAAGGTCTGTGGGTGTTCTCACACTTCACAGCTGAGCTCGGCAGTTGCAAGAGATAAAACAGCAGGCAAAATCTAAAATATTTATTATCTGACCCTTTAGAGAATTTACCAAATGAGCTCTAAAATACACATTTTATTTATCTTTTCCCCCTCAAATTACATGAAGAAACTACATAAACAAAAGTACAATAAAGTATGTATATGTGTGTTTGTGATTTCTCTTTATCAATCATCATGCAATTTAATGAATGAAGCCTCAAAATCCACTACTCTGTAATGAATTCCTCTGACTTCCAATAATCACAATTGGATACCATGTGAGGCCCAGGGGGTACAGTTATGACTTAGTTCCCAAGATCCAAGAGTTTGTGATCTTTGGGGAGAGACATAACACATAAAAGATGAGTAAGTGGGTGTTAGTCGCTCAGTCGTGTCCGACTCTTTGTGACCCCATGGACTGTAGCTCACCAGGCTCCTCTGTCCATGGAATTTCCCAGGCAAGAATACAGGAGTGGGTTGCCATTCCCTTTTCCACGGGATCTTCCTGATCCAACCAGAGATTGTACCTGGGCTCCCACATTGTGGGCAGATTCTTTACTGTCTGAGCCCCCAGAGAAGCCCCTATGAAAGATAACTTTAAAACACTAACCAACATCAGCTAAATTTCACAGAGAAGGCATAGTCAATAAACACTCTAAGAACTCAGGGAAATGAAAGAATTATTTAAGGTAAGTAAATTTAGAGGTTTCATTATCAGTAACTATCTAAGCCACCAGGGAAGCCCCATCCCTGGTGTCTCAGATGGTGAAGAATCTGCCTGCAGTGTGGGAGACCTGGGTTCAACCTCTGGTTCAGGAAGATCCCCTGGAGAAAGGAGTGGCTACCAACTCCAGTGTTCTTTCCTGGAGAATTCCATGGATAGAGGACTCTGGCAGGTTACAGTCCACGCGGTCGCAAAGAGTCAGACATGACTGAGTGACTAACATTTATTATCAATAACAATTTTAAAGGTGAAAAATAAACCTGTTCATCACTAATAAGATTCACAGTTTTGGCAAGATAAGGAAAGAAAATTCCAAAGAAAGGTAATAGCTTGAATGATTTTGATATGTGTACATGTATTCTGAACTTATTATAGTTTTATCATTAATATGTTAATATATACTTTAGTTTGGGGGTATTTGTTGGTATTTCAACTTACAATATAAATTCATGTCCAATTTATAAGGAATAACACATACAATAAATATATTTTATAGAAATATAATGATTGCATTGTGACTATAAAAACCTTTAACTTGTAACTAAATTTCTCCTTTTCCCTTTCCAAAATGAATAGCTTTTCAATTCAGTGAAATATAATTTAAATAATATTAGTAGAGCTAGTCATGCAATTTGCCCTAATTTTTAAATACAGCCATACCTCAGAGATAATTCCTGGTTCAGTTCTAGACCACCACAATAAAATAAATATTGTTAATAAAGTAAATTGCTTTTTAACTAAATTTCAGCACATCTAAAAGTTATGTTTACCTATGCTGTAGTCTGTTAAATGTACAATAACATTATGTCTAAAAATACATATATCTTAATTTAAAAATACTTTATTGCTTAAAAATGCTAAGCATCATCTAAATATTTAGCAAGTCATAATCTTTTTCGCTGGTGGAGGGTCTTCCCTTGATGTTGATGGCTGATGATTGATTAAGATGATGGCTGGTAAAGATTGGAATGGCTGTGGCATTTTCTAAGTGGAGTGACTGTGACATCAACTAAGTTTATTTCATATTCTAAACACTGTGATGCTATTTCCACAGTCTTCACAGCATCTTTACCAGGAGTAGATTTCATCTCAAGAAACCACTTTCCTTGCTTATCTAGAAGAAACAACTCCTTGTCCATTCAAATTCTATCACGAGATTGCATCAATTCAGTCACATCACCAGGCTCCATTTCTAATTTTAGTTCTCCTGTGGTTTCCACCACATCTGCAGTTACTTCCTCTACTAAAGTCTTGCATCCCTCAAAGTCATCCATCAGAGTTGGAATCAATTTCTTTCAAACTCCTGTTAATGTTGATAGTTTGGCCTCTTCCCATGAATCACAAGTGTTCTTAAAAGCATCTGGAATGGTAAATCCTTTCCAGAAGGTTTTCAATTTACTCTGGCCTAGATTCATCAGATAAATCACTACGTATGGCAGCTATAACCCTACAAAATATACTTCTTAAATAATAAGATTCAAAAGTCAAAATGACTCCTTGATCTATGGTTGCAGAATGGATGCTTTGCCAGCAAGAATGAAAATGACATTAATCTTGTACATCTCCATCAGAGCTCTTGGGTGACCAGGTGTATTGTCAATGTGCAGGAATATTTGGAAAGGAATGTTCTTTTCTGAGCAATAG